TGTCCAGCCCTTTCTCAGCCTGATACAACATCCCCCAAAAGTCTGTTGAGCTTTTCCTGGAATAAGAAGAGGATCTTCTACTTTTTGAATAGAGTAATGGAGATTGGAAAATATGGTCATCTTGTGGAGGTTATTCCAGGCTTCTTCTTAGGAACCTTAAAAAAAAATCTCCTCAGTATGGCCGATGATATATTCTGGACAATAAGGTGAGCAGAGTCTGAAAGATGAGAGCAATTTTCAATCTTGTCATGACGCTGACTAATGATAAAACTTGCTTTGTCTTTGCAGTGTACTCTAGATTTGACTCTAAATTCAGCCTCCGTCTCGATCATGCCCACTTAGAAAATTAGAGTGCAGCTAGCTCACCTTTTAGTCATCTTAATTCCAGTAGGCAGAAGGCCATGGGTCAAGGAATGTTGATGGAGTAAAATTTGACTGCATGTGTATCTGAAGGGGTAGAAGGCTAAGAGATTTTATGGCTTGGAAGCTGCTGAGATGTGGTGTGAAGAACACTGGACTTAGAGTCCAGATATCTGAGCTCAAGTTGGACTTTACCACTGGATAGTTGAATGACTTTGAGTGAGTTATATAAGCTGTAGCATCTAAATTTTCTCATCTGGCAAATGGAGTTAATAAAGTCTACTGCACTGGGCTGTTGTAAGGATTAAATTAACAAAGAATGTGAAAGCACCGAACAAAACCTTGTGAGTAAAAATTAGTAATTTGTGGAATGGACATCAAGGGAAATCTTCAGTTTGGGTGTTTTCAGTGAGTTTCTGTTGGGTCAGAGTGAATGTGTATTAAATTCCAGGATTTTGGTTGTGTGTGTGTGTGTGTGTGTGTAGAGATCAACGTTGGTTCTTCACTGTGACCTTGGGAAAGAAATGCAATAGGGTTTTTACTGGGAAGGTGGGTAGCAGGGAGATGGATGAACCATATTAAGAGGGGACCTCCAAATTGAACCTTGTTTTGAGTCAGCTGCAAACCATCACCAAGGAGGTCCTGGGAGACCTGGGGTGATTGGGTACACAGCACGTTCCTATCCTTGTGTCCTGATGCCTGGCACATAGGGACCTGCAGAAAATACTGATTCTCCTCCAGGCAGTTCACATGACTAGCTTTTAGGAGTGAGTATACTATTGCCCACCTCTAAAATTCTTGATCAAGTCTCCAGATGTCTACTGACCACTGATGCTGAGGTCATGAATCTTGGGCATTCTAGAGGCTTTGGGGAAAAAAATTACTTCTTTTGCCCAGGCACTCTGGGGTCTACCTCTTGGTAAATTATTCAAATGAGGTTTCTGGTCATGCAAATGTGGTTTCTAGAGTCCATTTGAATTGGACAAGTAGTTCTTGTTATTAGTAAAACAGCAAGGATCCCTAACCTGGGGTCCAAGGGTAAATTCAGGTTCTGTGAACTTGGATGTAAAAAAAATCATCTTTATTTTCAATACTCTCTAACTAGAATTTAATATTTTCTTTCAATATGAATGTAGGCAAAACTCCATGGTAGTATTAACTGCAACTGTGACTGTCACCAAGAGAAATCACATTTTCATGTCTTATTACACCTATTACATATATCACAAAATGTGGGTATTTGATATCAAGTTAGATTTGCACTAGGTAGATATTCTTATTTAATGTATTAATGAAGAAGCACATATATTGTTATCAGGTTGGTGCAAAATTAATTGTGGTTCTTGCCATTAAAAGTAATTACAAAAATAGCCAGTCTGACCAACATGGCGAAACTCCATCTCTACTAAAAATATGGGTGTGGTGGTGGCACACACCTGTAATCCCAGCTACTTGGGAGGCTGAGGCAGGAGAATCGTTTGGACCCAGAAGGCAGAGGCTGCAGTGAGCTGAGATCACACCACTGCACTCCAGCCTGGGCAACAGAGTGAGACTCTGTCTCAAAAAAATTTAAAAACCCTGCAATTACTTTTGCACCAGCATGTGATATGCATTTATTTTAAAAAGTATTTTGACATTGTCTTTTAAAACAAAGTTTCTTTTTAATCTTATAATATTTTACTCTGTCATGTAAAAATATTATTTTGAGAAGAGGCCTGTAGGCCTCATTAGATTACAAAACAGATCCATCGTACAGTTGAAAGGTTAAGAACACCTCATTTACAGCATTCTCTCACACACAACTAACGAAATGACTTCTGAACAGCACCAGTTGATAGATGGTTTCTGCCAAAAGGGGAATGTGATCTTCCCATATGTTCCTGCCTATGGGTAGCCTTGGAGTTGTGAAGAGACTTTGGCATAATGAAAATGATAATAAGAATGATAATGGTAATTTGTTGAGTGCCTACTGTAAGCCAGGTGGTTACAGGCCTGTTCAATGTCAAGTTTAGTTTAATCCTCCCAACGACCTCAGGAGGTAGTCCATGGAACAAAGACAGAAGAGACCCCTGCCCACCCACAGTAATGAAACATGGGTACGGGTGAAGGCCAATGTGGTTACTGACCCCTTGGAGAAGGTTGATGTCACGAGTGTGCAACTCGTGCAGTTCCACAGGACCCCATGCTTAGAAAGTTTCCATGTTTGGTTTAAGGCTCTGCTGTTGCCATCTTGAAATTCTTCATAAGTTTTGAACAAAGGGCCCTGCATGTTCCTTTTACACTGAGCTCTGCAAATGATGTAGCTGGTCCTGCCTCTGGTTGTGGTGAAATGGAATGTATGACAGCTCCCGGGGCTGGGAGTCTGGGAAGCTGCTGCAGAGAGCCCCCTCCTCATTTTCATCAGGCTCAGCCACGCAACCTCTGGTAGGAAGCTACGGCCTGTTGAGGAGAGAGGATGTCATTTTTGAGTTAGTGAGTTTTACGCTTTTGTTTGAGCTCCAAAAGTTTCCTCCAAACAACTGGAAGGATAGCTGAATAACTGCCTGGAAGGGATTTAATTCCTTGAAAAACCTTTCTGATAGGGAGTTGCTGGCAATACTGGTGGGTTTTTCATGATTTTATTTTCCAGAGGGCTTGCTGCATTAACCAGTGAGCCAGGAGAAGCAGAATAAAGTCTGATCTGGAAGGAAATATGAGACCTGGTATGCCACGAGTCTAGTGTTCTCATAGGAAGGATCTAAAAACAAACTTGGCTTTCTTGCCTGCTGCTATTGAATGATTATCGCTATAAAAGGAAAACTCTACTTCTTCTAAAGAAGAGGTCGTCTAACTTGTGAGAAAATTCAGATGTTATTTGCTTCTTGAGCTGCAAGGATGCTAATGAAATAAGTCTCATGAAGTTCTGGTGGTGTTTTAGGGCTAGGTTTTTATAGACTGTTCCATTGTTCAAAACAGGGTCATGGACGTAGTGATGGTGGAAGAAGTGAAGACTTTTCCTCAATTTCTTTGTCTCAGGGATGGAATTCAGGCTTCCCCAATAACATTTTCATGGTCTTTCTCTGGTCAGTCAGTGATGTTCATAACACAAGCAAGCCTGTCATCAGGACAAATCTGTGATGGCTAAGACATCAGGTGCTCTTCCAAAAGAGCCATAATTCACCCTTCATTTTTCAAGTTTTTTTTTTCTTCCTGTTATTACTGCTCTTTTATCATGGCTAATAAGTCTGAGGTGGCTTCAGGCAGCCAATCCTAACCCCTGAGTCAATCTGGGGCCTCCAATGGGAAGCCAGACTGAAGTTCTGATAGATGGGTTTGAGTGGCTGTGAAGTGGTGTTTCTGTAGCATCCAGACTGATTTGCACTGAAAGGGAGCTTCTGTATTAGGGCACAAGGATGATCAATATGTCTCCTATTTATATTTGGGGGAAAAAGTTGTGGGAACTGTGCTTAAAGGATCTCAATTTTGAAACTGAAAGTATGAGGTCCTAACAGACATCCTCCTTCTCTTAGAAACACAAGGATCCATTTTCAAGTAATTTCAAAAGAATTATGTTGCTTTCCCCACCCCTTCCCAAGTACACTTATTATAATATATCCAGTCCATTTGCTAGCTTTATATCTTTAGAAAAGTTGCTTAACCTCCCTCTGTAAAATGGTGCTAATATTAGTACTAACATTCAGGGTTATTGTGAGGATTAAATGAGGTAATTCATGTAATGCCTAGTTCTATTTCTAGCACATTTTAAACCCTCAACAAATATGAACTATTATCACTGTCATAGTTTTTGTTGTTGTTTTGCAATTATGTGGTTTTCAAGATTCTGAGCTGGGGGCTGTTGCTCTTTCCTTGACTTGAACATCTTGGTCTTTTCCTATGAGGAAACTTGACTCTTGAAATGGTCCAATCCATTGTCCTAGTCCATCCTGACCCCTCCCTGGCTCCAATCCCCACCCCTTACCGTCCTCCACCCTTCCCACATTCCTGCACAGTTGGTCTTATTTATTTTTCAGTCAACTAAAGGTGTTGTTAAATCTTTTATTTTTCTGCTGCCCGATTTGGTTCTATGCACTCCACTCCCTACGCTGCTCATGACAAGAATGCCTGGGAACACTCAGCCAGTCATATCCCTCCCCCGTAGGAACACCCAGTTCTTAATGCTCCTGGAGAGGCAACATTTCTGAGGCCATTCCCTACTGCCATAAGCCCCCCTCCCCCATGAAGCCAGTGGTCTGGTAGTAATGAACCCCCCACGGCCCTCAGAAAACTGGGGCAAGGTATTTGTTTGCGGAAATGTTGCATGTTGCCTTGATTGTGCTTTCTTCTACAAAGCTTAAAAAGGATATTATATTATATTATTTTATTTAATTTTTTGAGATGGAGTCTCACTTGGTTGTCCAGGCTGGGAATGAGTGGCACAATCTTGGCTCACTGCAACTTCCACCTCCTGGGTTCAAGTGATTCTCCTGCCTCAGTCTCCCAAGTAGCTGGGACTACAGGCACATGCCACCATGCATGGCTAATTTGTATATTTTTAGTAGAGACAAGGTTTCGCCATATTGACTAGATTGGCCTCGAACTCCTGACCTCAAGTGATATGCCCGCCTCGACCTCCCAAAGTGCTGGGATTACAGACATGAGCCACTGTGCCTGGCCAAAAAGAGATATTCAAAAACTCCCTCTGACTGTGTGTGCTGAAGGCTGAGTGCTGATGCCATTGCTTAATTAATGTTGTTCATGATCTCCATTTAGGCGATTTGTTTAACTCCTTGTGGCCCTTTTTGGACTTAGCTTATCATGTGACATTGACAAATTAATGAGAAGTGAGCATGTGATGATGCTTGGATTAGGACAGAAATCACATCTAGCACATCTCAGGCCCTTTCTACCTGGGACCTGAGACCTCAAATCTCTTGGCAGGAGAGGAGTGGGTCTACACAGCCCGCTTCTGAGGTAGGTGTGGCTAGCCTCATTTATGCGATGGGAAAACTGTGGTCTGGGAACTAAGGGTTTTCAAATTATGCTCTTTGCCCAGGGCTGGATGTAGGATGTCTGGGGGAGAAGCTAGACTGAGATCTGGGTACACTGAGCCTCCACTTTAGGAGGTAACCTAGAGACTACACCTACTCCCTAAACTGTATTGACTTTTGGAAGTCAACCATTTGGAAGAGTGTGGTTTTGGTTTCGATCGTATCCCAGCAGTCTTTTCTCTGCCCTTGTTAATCTGATTTGTGATCTGGACCTGGGCTGGCTGGAGGCTGGCCATGTCACTCTGCAGACCTTGGACACCCCTGAGTGCCCTCACAGAACCAGCCAATGGAAAAGTACAGTGTCTTCTGGCTTCTCAGCCTTGCCAGCTCCCTCTGGCCTATTTGATACCCTCTTTTATATTAAGGGAGTGGAAATGTAGCATCCAAACTGAAAATGCAGGTTTTTCTTTGGTTTTTTTATAGGAAAAACAAATTGGCATGAACACTCAGTCAAACCAGCTCAGGCTGTTTGGGCAGATGCCTTTCTTTGCCTTTTTCTGTTTATTTTCCTACAAATCAATGCTTAACTGCGTTGTTATCGGAGCAGAGCAACAGGTGCAAAAAAATAACTCTGCTGCCAACTCAAATGAAACGGTAGGGCTTATACCCTCTGGGAGGTATTCAGAAGATAACAGAAGCCCCTGCCAGCAACTGAATTAACAGCTCTGTTTACGGTGGGTTTTATGTTAACAACCTGCTTCTGACCCTCCTACACATAAACACACCATTGTCTTGGAGAGAGACATTCAGCCATCCGGACAACCCACTGCTTTATTCTGCCCTGAGTGGAGATTGGTTTTGGCTCAGGCTGCTTTGTGAAACCCAGAAGCATTATCCTGTCTGCCAACTCCACGTCCTAGTCAGAGTTTTCTGTGAAGGCAAGGGCATGGGGTTGCCGGAGAGAAGAGGATTGGTCCTGCTTTTAAGACTAGTTGAAATACTTTTCAAGGTTGGTCATTCTCAAATGCCAGAGAGGGTTGCCTGGCTCTCTCCGCTCTTGCCCCATTCCATTCACAACAGGAGGTGGGGAATGAGCTCAGATGATTTTGGAAGGAGCCACTATTGTTTTGGAAGCCGTGTCCTTGTGAATAGTCCATCAGGGTAGGGCAGCGTCTATGTTTTATTTACTATTGTGTCCCCAGCACCTAGCAAAGTGCCTGGAATCTAGTAGACACTTGGTAAATATATATGAATTACAGAGGGTCTGAGACAATATTGTAATGGCTGGATAAGCATTTCTAGGTGATAGTTTCCTTCTGCTAAAGGCTGAGAGACTGTCTTGGGTATGAGGGCTTAAGTCCAGGGTAATTAAGTAATCTTTTGAAGGACTGAGATGGGGGTGGGATGGGGTAAGGGGTGGCTTGGCCAGCCTTGAGGTCCTCCCGATGGAAGTAACCATCAGAGAGATCCTCTGCAAGCGCTATATTCTGGGACCAGATTTGTCTGTTCGGCCTTCAGAGACTCATACTTTTAAGTATCCAATCATTGCTGAATTTGACCATTTAGTATTAATAGAACTAAGCAATTACCTGCTTTAATTCAAGTTGGCAAATAATGTAACAGTAGGCTATCTGCAGATGGATTAGAGGTTGAATTCTCTACATTGAATCTTTTTTCTCTGACTTTATAAGGACTTGCTTGCATTTATGGACATTTCTTTCAAGGCTGGTGTCTCCTGGAGTTTGTCACCTTGTGGTGGGAAAGGGAAGGGAGCCAAGTGGGTGAGTCTATAGACCAGAAAATCTCAATGGTGAGAGTGTTCAAGACTTCATTAAGGGAGGTTCTTAGAAATGCAGATTTTAGTTTAGAGGTCTGGGGTTTCAGCAATCAAACATTGTTGAATCTAACAATATGGGGGTACTGAGCATTAGGACCTATTTTATTTCAAGTTGGCAAATAATATAGTGATAGGTTGTCCACAGAGGCCCACAGAAAACAAGCAAAACCAGGAAGATGTAAATGTTTGGAAGAAGAGGAGAGGCAAAGCTTCTTTTGAGGCCTCAAAAGCCTCTGTGACCTTTTACAATCCGAAGCTTGCCCTATTCTTACTTTATCATATCTGAATGGGTTTGATAAAGGCCCTGGGGGTCATCTTAGGCAAGCTTGTCTTTTGATCAACTTGGGTGCCTGCCACTGTCAGTATGTGCTGCCTAGCCTGGGTCTGACACCAAGACTGATAAAGATCAGCATGCTATGTATATTTCCAAATGGCTTACAGTCAATAAATTGTACCTATAATGGATCCAGACTTGGCCTCCCAGTGCCGCATTATTGGTCATGAAAACCCTTGAAACCCCAGCAATAATACTTCAGATGTTGCCCCTGGGAACGTGAAAAATGTCTGTTTCAAAACACATTATAAGGCTATGAAATTATCTGTGATGTAATCCCAAGAGAATCAAATACATTCCCCAAGCTTGATTCATAATTCAATTCATTTGTAAAAACACAAATGATTGTCTGTATTATATTCAGTTTCCTTTCACATGTACATGATTTTTTTTTTTTTCTCTTATTTGGGAGTGGTCCTTTGAAACGACAGTCATATTGAAACAGGAAGTCAGTAAGCTGTTGCAACATCCTTAGGGCAAATGCTGTGAATTTACCTGCTGGTAACTTTAAGGACTGAGAATGGTGTCGGTATCACTGTCATCACAAAAGTAATTATTTAAAAGGACTAATTGCTTCTTTGGCTTCAGGAGTAAAGATGCCCACATGGCAGCCAGTTCTGCGGCAGTTTGGTGATGATGTGGTTGGATGAATAAGGGAGCTAGGAAGATGGCTGATGGTGGCCTTGACTCTCAGTCCCCTGGGGCTGGGGACAGGGAACGCAGGTGTGAGCCCTGGTTAAGATCTGCTCTGTGGCCCTGCTGGCTCCCAGTGTTCCTTCACCCTTGCAGCAGGAGCAGACCATGCTCTCTGGCCTGAGGTCTGATTCAGGTAAAGCATAAGTAATTATGGACCAGTCTATTTCCCAAATACAAAATTAAAATAACTTTATTGAGTCATAGGGGGATAATTTACATTATATATGCATGCATGTATATGTGCAGGCATATGAATATGTGTATATATATAATATGTATGTAAACTTGATAAAGGTGTAAGGCAGCAGATGGTCCAGGGAGAATGCTATGACCATATCTAGAATGGGGGTCAAAGTGAGAATGAGTCTTCTCTGGCAAAGTACCCTCTTCTCAGCAGAGAGTGGTCAAGTTCCCAGGTTTTATTGCAAGACAGTCTGAGTTTGAATTCTCTTCCCTTGCTAAACTGTGTGACCTTGAACAAGTCACCTAACTCCTTTGTGCCTCAGAGAAGCCATCTGTTAAATGACATAATGCCTCCTAGAGTTGTTGTGAGAATTAATTGAGATAATATGTTTAAACCAGCAGTGCAGAGCTGGCACACTTTAAGTATTCAGTAAGTCCTAATTACTATAATATAGTTATTATTATTATTATTTTTAAAGTGTTCAATCCTGAGTCTAAATAGCCCCATCACTGAGCAAAAGAAAGACCTCCCTGTAACTGAGCAGGCCCAAGCTGGCCTGCGTTGGTCTCTCCTGGGAGGTTTGCTCTGTATATTTAAGAAGGGAGGCCAGTGGAGCAGTCCTTGGGCTTGTTAGGAATCCCAAGGCTGAGCAGAGCCTCCTGGGCCTTGGGATATGTGGTTCCAGCTCCCTGCCAGTGGCCCAGGGGTTCTTCTTGCGTATCTGTCCCTATCAACCCCAGTCCCAATCCCAAACCTTATTCTTTTTTTTTTTTTTTTTTTTTTTTTTGAGATGGAGTTTTCACTCTTTTTTGCTCAGGCCTGGAGTGAATGACGTAATCTACCCCGGCTCCACCACACACCTCTGCCCTGCGGGTCTCAGCGAATCCTCTGCTCCCGTCCGCCTCCCAAAGTGAGCAACCGTATTCTTTTGCAAGTATTGAGCATTCTCTGTGCTGAAGGGACTCCGGAGGATAGAGAAACGGTCAGCCGTTTCTGCCAGGGGCCTCGTGTTATTAGATGACATGCGCTCTTCCTTGGTCTTTCTTTATTTTTTTTTTTTTCGCACCTGCAACCAGCCCAACGGTATGTGGGAGTGGCTATAGCCGCTTTGACAATAACACAGGTTTAGTCGAGCCATACTGCCTTACCGGCTGCTCTTTGGCAGCCTGGACAGTCGTGTTCTGGCTGAGAGAAAGCGGCGGGCAGGAGATGGCTTTCCATCCTTTTGGATAAGAAACTGGTGCCCAGTCCGCAGGGAAACACCTCATGCTCTGCAAGCAGGGTCCAGCCCCGCCGGTTTATAGCTCAGCCATAATGGTGCGTCTTCACAGCAGCTCTCAGGATACTGGGAGTGGGGAGGCATAAGATCTAGTCCTAGGCTCGGACTGTGGCCAGTCAGCTGAACTGGAGAAGACAGAGATCGGATAGAGAAGCGTTGAAGCCTTGCTTGAAATGAACTTTGGCTCTAATTGTCCTCCTTAAGTGTTCAATAAAATAGAACTACAAGTATGATTAAGATGATTGTTTATTTAAAACCAGCAACCACTTATCAAATATTTACCTAATGTGTCCATGCTTTTCCAAGCATTTTACAGGTATCAATTTCATTGTTGTCTTTTCAACAACGCTTTTCCATATCATTCTCTATTTTATAGATGAAGGAAACTCAGGTCCCAAGAAGTTAAATAACTTGTCCAAGCTTGCCCATTAGGAAATATGGCAAAGCCAAGATTTTGAACTGTGGCCAATCGGTAACCGTCCCTCAGAGCCTGGGGCCTCCCAACAATGATCTGCTCTGAGGAGTGTACCCCTACCATGAAGAGTGCCCCCAGTGCCAGCCCAACACATAGTTTAAACAGGAGACACTCATGGGCAGAACTTCCTATAAGTTCATAGAGATATGACTAGACACTTGCTACATAATGAAGATGCATGCTGGTGACTTTACAAAACGAATCTCATTTAATCCTCATATCAGCTTCCCACATCCAAAGTGGATTTTTGTATGTGGGGAAACTGGCGGCGTAAGAGAGGATAGAATCTCTCCAAGAGTCAACATAGCCACCCCAAGCCATAGTATCAAGATTTCAAACCCTGGCCGTTGAATCATGAGCCCTATTCGCTTAGAGTTCTCCCTTCAGACATGCGGCACACTAGGCTTCGCTTTTCCGTGGCTAATGGCACCATATTGCTGCTGACCAGCAGCACCAAATGGGAGACTCTTAAACTTTCAGGTTAGACCAATGCTCTCCCGTGCTCCCCTTCATTGGTCAAGGCTGTGCATGGGTGGTCAAGTGGTGGTGCTCTTTCTGGAAGCAGGCCCTCCGCTAAGCAGCCAGGAGAAGAAGGCAACAGGGGCTGGGATGTGTCTCTGTGTTGAACTGGTGCAGAGTAGTCCCAAGTCCTCTAGCAACCTCAGGGGCACTGTGGGAGTTTGTGTTTACGCCCTGGAACTGCCTTAAAAAGAAGTGAGATGGCGGAGGCTGGGCCTATTCCCCTGCCATGTCCCTCAGGCTGGTGGTCATTCAAGCACAGAACAGTGCTTTCCTTGCTGGAAAAAGAAATTTCAAGATTGGCCAAACCCCAGTGCGCCATATGTTACGGGGAGCTGACGGCACTTGTAGGGGAGACCTGCCTGCCTAAGGTTAAATATGTCCTGGCAAGAGCCTGGCATGATGTACTCCGCCAGTTCTTCCAGTCTATCGGGTAAGCACACAGGGCTCTTCTCTTCAAATAACGAGTACAGTTCTGCCCTACACTGTGGTGGTCCCCCTTACACAAAGAAGGTTGAAAAGTTTTGGGACAAAAATGTCAACCCTCTGGGGGACAAATCAAGTAAGTCGAAAAACTCCTCAAAAATCAAAACAACAGTTTTCCCTCCAAAAATTGTTTCCTACACCCTTAATTAAAAGAGGCAATACAAAATAGGGGAAAAAAAATATACTTAATTGAAAAAAA